TCTCTCTCTCTCTCTCTCTCTCTCTCTCTCTCTCTCTCACACAAGTTTTCAAGCTTTCAATTCTCTGTGACGACACATATAACAATAATATGTTGATAGAGGTAACAATAAATTAATCTAAAGCACCGGAATTTCTTGTGCTCTTTTTTTAAAGAATCCAGAGTATCATTTGTAGTCGCCCAGAGTGTAAAAACGTGAAAAATAAAGATTTAACAACAGAATGAAATCAAATTAGCACGGATATAAATAACCATAAAAATTAACAAATTAGGGCGCGTGTCCACCTATCCGAAGATTGGCTGTTTTAACCCTATACGTGTGTAATTTAATAAAAAGTAGGCCTACAGGATATTACTTCTAAATTATGGAATCCCACACATTTGGGGCGTGCCAGTGTCAGAATTCAGTTTTGGTGGAGACACGCTCTAACATAACACATTTATATTTTTTTAAGGTAGGAACAGCATCAAATTAATGACATTACCCTGTATAAAAGCACAAAAAAAGAGAAACAAATCAGGAGTACAATTTTTTTTTAAAATTAACACACCAACAAATTAAAACACAACAAAGAGATGATTTATATTCTCCGCTTGAAAATAGATAGCCTACACATGGACATCTTAAAACTTATCAAAATAATATGTTATGAACGAGCTTTGTTGTTTTGTCGTTTTTGAAAACTGCAAAAATCGCGGCCGGATCGCGGCCGCGACAAACGCAGATGCTAGTATAGTGCGACAAAACAACGTCGAGCCCCTATTGCCTCTTTGAGCGTAATTTTATTGGGGAAGTGCTGTGGATGTTGATACATTTTAATATTACTTTGGATTTACTGGAAACTAAATAGGTCTAGATCTAAGAACTATTTTCAGCAGCCAATCTCTTGTCCACAAGAGCTAACTTAAAATGATCGAACCGCGCCTGGTCGTTACATCAAGATAGATACATATAGGTGGGTGGATGAATGGATAGATTACTTGCTTGTGTCTATTTTTGCCTTTGTTTGATGTTTGGGTTGCTTCTCATATGACCTTAGCAGTTGCGAGCGCCGTAAAACCTTATACTATACTATACTCTACTATACTATGAGTTATTAAGGAGATGATCACCTCTTTTAAATAGGTCATGGTATTTCCTTCTTGCTTTACCCGCTCTAAATAGCCCCGGTCGTGCCGAGGATACCTGGCCGGGTAGTTATAGTAACAAAATAAGGAAAGTCGGCAAAGGTGATATACCAAAGTAAATAAAACTGTACTTGTGTAATTAACCCATTATACGCGTTTCTGTTACAACCGTACCTGCCCATCGTTAAACAAACAAAAACAGCAACAACAAAAAAACACAAAAATAACAACAAACAAAACACACAAAAAATAAAAACAACACCAGCACCACTACAACCCCAACAACAACAACAACAACAACAACAACAACAACAACAACAACAACAACAACAACAACAACAACAACAACAACAGCAGCAGCAGCAGCATCAAGTTCCAATGAACAAACTCTCAAGGGCGGCGCCTGCTTTTTACCTAAGTATAGGTACGATACCAGAATCATCCGTCCGCCTATTTAGGCCTAGCATCAACAAAAACCACTTTAACTTATTGGTTATTGCTGCTTCTGCTGCTGCTAGATCTACTATTGCTCCGACTACTGTTAGTGCTACCGCTGTTTCTGATGTTGCTCTAGTACTTATTAGTAAGTTATGTTAGCTCTACAGCTTCCGAAGGAGTATAATGACAAGAGTCGGTAACACACAAGTCTTTTCTATAAGTTTAAAAGGGGGTGGGGGTGGGGTGGGGTGGGGGTGGGGGGGTGGGGGCTACACCTGAAGGCTGTCTCGCTTATTAGAGGATAAAATTTTACCAAATTTCACACATATAACAAGCATAGTATGGAGTCTTAAAATCCGCAAACTTGCGAAAAAAAGTTTCGTTTCTATGGACACGGCGGCTATAATATATTGGATTTTGTTGACATGCCTTATAATGCCTTATCTGTAATGAATACCGCACTTATTTTTCTTGGAAATATATATATTTTTTGGCATGCATATTAGCAAACATTAGATCTAGATCAACAAGTTTGTTTGTTAAATTTTTTCTAAATGAGTTAGAACATTTTAAAAGAATTTTGTCTTGAGGTCGTATATTCAAGTTTGCCAAAAATCCGTGAAAATCCACACTCCAGACACCACCAACAATAATCTATTCCTTCTCCATGTATCAACAATTAAAGAGACACATTTTTAGTGTTACATCTTCTCTTCCTTCTGTGAAAATTTCATGAAGATTTGATGACAAATTAAATGGGGGATAAAGAAATTTAAAAGATTGACTCTATGATGAAATGGCAAAACATTCCCGATTTGGAAAAAAAAGGCTTTTGGGGGTTCTAGGGCCATGAAATTATAGGCCTAGTTGTGAGAAAGGCTGGTGTAAGAAGCTACAAATTTCAACAGGTCAAACTCCATAATTTTGAGCCGAATCGGGACTTTTGAGGTGTAGCCCCCCCTCCCCCCCACATCCTTTTAATAGAATCTAGACACTTCATTGTGTAGCCTGCTGAATCATTACATATAGAAAAATAAATGTTTGGCCAGGCGTCACATAGGCCTGTACGTTTTGTTGTTGTTGCTGTACCCCCCACCCCTCATCCATGCGCACGAACAGACGTGCATGATTGTTCCACTGCGACCTCTCCATTCTTTGAATAGATCCATCTTGTAGGCCTAGCCCTTAAGAGTCTCTGGTTCGATCAGAGAGTCTAGGCCTATTGAATGCTTTCTCACCATCACGATTCCGTCCACATGGGAGGGGAGATAACTGACATATTCAATAAAATCGTTATTATAATGAGCAAGTTACGTTCTCATTTCTGCGACAGGTGAACGGACGGAAGTGCTATCAGGGAACAGAGAAACTTTGTTGACGTCTGACAACAGACTGGTACTGGCACAACAGCCCTGTGGGTCTTGCCTTTATTTTGGTTTTGCTAGAACAAGCCTTCAGACCACGAATCGGTAAAATGTTTATGTCAAAGCAGTCTTGTCTTAGCCTCCTTAGCCTCCTGTGTATTTCCATTTAAAAAAATTTCATTCATTCTTTCTTTCTTTTTAATTTTTGTCCCTCATTTTCTCTGTGCTTCTTTTTCGGGTGTCCCCCCCCCCCCCTTATTTGAGCCTAGATCTATCTAGTGTAGATCTAGATCTATAAGATATCAAACCTAACAACTGCAAAACTTCAAATTATGGTAAAATTCAGGGGGGCATGACCCCCCACCATATTTTAGACGAAGTACAGACCCGGTAACCGGGAACCAAGTCACGAAGTATACAGACCCGGTAGGGGAACTCTTTTGTGATTTTGGAAAGTTTCAACGCCCAGACCCGGTAGTGTGTGTGTGTGTGTGTGTGTGTGTGTGTGTGTGTGTGTGTGTGTGTGTGTGTGTGTGTGTGTGAGAGAGAGAGAGAGAGAGGAGAGAAGTGCTAGCAAAATATGTATATATGACATGCCCCAGTTGGTAGGAGGGAACGAGAGAAAGATAGAGTGGGAAATAGGTGGAGAGAAAGAAAGACAGAGACAAACAAAGAAAAAGAGAATGCGAGCGATACACACACACACAGAGAGAGAGAGAGAGAGAGAGAGAGAGAGAGAGAGAGAGAGAGAGAGAGAGAGAGAGAAATAGAGAGGGTGACTGCTCGATTGAAATTATGACATTGTTCTTTTCTTCAAATTGTGATTCCTCCAACTCCAAAACGGAGGAAAAACGATCGTTCATCGAAAAGACATGATCCGAAATCTTCATTTAGATCTAGATCTAGGCTAGCCTCGAAACTAGATCAATGATTTATGTCTGTCTATCTAGATCTAGACCTGGGCCATAGATCTAGAAGAACCTAGGTCTACCCTGAGCCAAGAGGCGCTGAAACTTTCCGAAATCACAAAAGAGTTCCCCTATCGGGTCTGTATACTTTGTGACTTTGTTCCCGGTTACCGGGTCTGTATACACTCCCTTTTAGGTAAGCCCCACTGAACCCCCCCTACTCTTGGAGCCAAAACCGGCGAATAACAATTGTAGGGTGGGAACTAGATGTAGATCCTATATACCTACAACAGTTCACAGCGATTGTTAAGACTCCCGCGTTAAATTCCGTTTGCGATTTTCATGGTTAGTCTGGCCTATGGTTAGGGTGAGGGTTAGGGTTAGGGACCAAAGCGAAACCTGCCTAGCTGAGGCTATGAAAAATGCACATCGGAATTAAACGCGGGAATCTTAACAATCACCCAGTTCACGCTAGTTTAGTAGGCCAATCCAATCAATTGCTTTTATAGTAGCCTACTGTATTAATCAAGGGCGACTCGTCGAAATAATGAATTTGACTATATCGGCATTTTTACTTTATTTGACAATTTTTTTTCTAATTTTTGTTGGGCTCAAGAACACCTTTAAATTTAGCAAGTGGCTATTCTCCGGCGTCCTGTGTAGTTGCACATGTCGCTTCTCCACAGCTTTCTATCTCCCCTGTTGGCACATTATGGCCATTATTGTTGCAACTGAGTTCAGTGCCAGATGTGCCTTCCTGTACTTCTGGTTAGGACTGATGGTTGTTGGCGCTTCTGGTGCTGTCACAGTGTCACCTCTGACACAGAATTTCCGCCTTCTTCGATCACTGGAGCTTTCATTGAGTACTGCAGTGGCTGCATGTCCACCTATGGTTAATCGCATTCTCAAGAAATGCTGACCCTGATGAGTGTTTGTGCAAGACCATAACATTCCGATAGGGTAGGTGGAAAACTGAGGAGAAGCAACATGTGCAACTATACTTGAAGCCGGAGAATAGCCATCGATCTATTGACTGGCGCGACGCCGGAGAATAGGCCTAGCTATTGCTTAAATTTATGTCCCATTTAAAAACTTTTTTTCCCTGTGTGGATTTTACCCCCCCCCAAAATTGATTAAAGACACAACAAAATACGTAGGGGCCTAAATTTTTAGTTTCCAAGGACTCTCAAGCTTTGGAAGTCTCCAAACTTTTACGGCCATTTTCTCGCTAATTATACTGTACCTCTGAAACCAGGCGAACTCGACCTCCTTCAATCGCAAATATCTCAATTTCTAGAATCTAGATCTAGATCTTATATTCATGATAGACATGTATTTTTTAAATCAAAAGATGGACAAATGAACAAGCTTTAAGATGGTTTACCAATAACTCCAGTTACCCAAAAATTGATGAGCGCCTGATTTTACTGCATCATGACACGTATTAGTGCTTAACATTATATTATGCGCTGTGTACTTGCACTATCTTTACAAAAATTTTAAAAAGCACTAGCACGCTACGGTTCAACAGTGAGCATTTCTCTTCATCTCTCTTTTGACACTCTCTCTCCGCTGTTTCTCTCTCCCCCTCCCGCAAAAAATGCCCCCGCCCCCCCCACACACACACTCATTGATTACAGTTTTGCAGCACAAAGTGCAAGCTTATAATATTAGTTTGGATATTTACTTTAAGCGGAACGAAAGTTACCAGCAATAATTTTAATTAAATACATTTCTTGTTGGCAGGCAAAATTAAGTGGCTGATCTTGTCCAGTTAATGAACCACCTCTGCATATATTATTTGTGATCATGTTACATTAGGAAACCGGTCATTTCATCTCAAGGTCATCTCATCTCATCCCAATTGTGTGTGACGAAATGACTTGGCTTATCTCTCCAAAATTGTTATGCTCATAGAGTTTTCGAGGATCAGCGCCAGCAGTCTTTATTCTAAATCACTAATTCAAACACGTAATGGCTGGGCTCTTGTTTTTAAGTAATTTAAGCCTAATTCTACACACTCCCCCCCTCCCCCCCCCCACACCAATTAAAACAGCTCAACAAAACTCACCCAGTTATGAATGGTGTCTAGCTGTTCAGGTAGGCACGATGACATTTTGTTTCCTTCACCTGGCTGTGTTTTTCAGTTGATGCCTCACTTCTTGCCACAATAATAGGCCTTTACTTTATATTCCACAGTCTCTACTTTATTTCCTTGAACATGACAATGTACCTTAGCTTTCGTGTGTTAAAGAACTTTGTCTCCACACATTCCCCCCCTGTCTCTTACTCAATCATCTCCTGACCCCTCTCAATTATGTAATGTGCATATATGCATTTTCTTCTTCTTCCTTTCTCCCTGGTTTTCTTTCCCAATTATTGTGATTGCACTGCAAGTAACAGAACAAGGCAAAATGTGTCTTTGAGAAATGAAATGAATCAAAAACATATTTAATTCTCAGCCATAAAAAGCTTCATAAACAGTACTTTTGAATACTAGGCCACAGTCAAAATAAATTATGTTTTATTCTGTTTGTGTATTTTATGCAACTTCTATACAGCCATTTATAATTTATAATGTTATAATGCAGTTATGTGGTATCTTGGTTATAGTGATTTGTGATAAATGAAAAATGTTATGCGTTGTAAGACTAGTGCTTTAAGTCAAATGATTATTACAATTTTGTTTTTGTTTTTGATGCAGTTGTTGGGTGAAATTCTTTAAAAATCAATAGGCTCTACATGTACTTTGTATTATGCCTTTCATGCTTTCATGATCATAATTTTAATAATAATAATGATAAAAGAGAAATTAGAGGTCTTGTTTACATGTAAGGAAAGAGACTGGTTGCACTGTTGCCAGGAACATAATGTAAATTTTCCTCTAAATTATGTCAGGAAAAACTTGGCCAGCCAAGTAAGCTACACAGATATAAAGTGAATTTTCTAAGTCTGCACAGGTAATGAAATGTTTTTATTTTTATTCAGTTATAACATAAATAGGATACTTTTGGACAAGAAATACACCTTGTGAATTGAGGACACCCTGATTTTTTGTTTGTTAATCTTTGAAAGCCTTGGAGAGAAGCAAAAATGTGGCGTTACTGGCCATGCAGATTGAAGGTCAGAGGTCAGAAGACCACCTATGGTGTATTATATTAAGTGGATTTTACTAATAGTGAATAACGAGGTAACCAGTTGGACCTCTATCCTCACTTTTATCCTCAATACTTAGATTTTGGAATACCAACTGTCTTTTACTTGTATTATTTGCAAGTGAATGCTGTGCTCTGAGTTAACCAAAAGGTGTGAGTTTTCTGATGTCCTAAAGTTGTCATTCTGTCTCACTGAAATGTGCTTGTCCTGTCTTCGCTAACCCTAGTTGGAAGTATACTACTACTACTCCACTATTGAGATGGTGAGTCTGTGATTTGAAAAGAAATATAGTTGAAAATAAATGGTTATAGATTGTCTGATAGACTGAAAAAAAGCCAGACTGAAGATGCTCAGCCATTTACTGAATGAATGGACATAATTTTGTTCATTCACTTTTCTTTCTTAAGATTGTGTTGATATAATGTGTAAATTAACTAAGGTGTTGCTTTTGAAACTATATATATATATATATATATATATATATATATTATATATATATATATATATATATATATATATATATATATATATAATAATAATATTCTGAAGTGTGTATAGAGTCTTGCCCTTTGTGATGTTAATGTAAGAAACAATATCTTTGCTGGAAAAAAAAAATGAAGGGTCTTATAAGTGTACTTAGTTCGTTTTTCATGCAATAACTGACTAATCTTGTTTTAATGCTTATTGTCTCCTCTTTACGATTCAGAATAATGTCACTTCGTGAGTAACTTTGACCGAAAACGTCCTAGAAAATATTAAGAATTGCCTCTCTGGGGAAGGCATGTATGTATTCCAAATTTTTGCTTTGCAAGGTTCCTAACCTTGAATATAATAGAAACTTGCATAGCTCGGGCAAACTCATTGTAGGTTCCTAACCTTGAATATAATAGAAACTTGCATAGCTCGGGCAAACTCATTGTATTGATAAATTTGTAAAAAATTTAATAAAAGATATTTCACTTTGCACTATTATTTTAATGTGCCCAAAGACAGACAATAAATGTCCCTGTTTCCAGCAAACACACATTAATTGATTCTGTGCAATCTTTTTGTTTACTAACACATTACCGTGTAGTGCTTGTAGTCCTTAGTTTTTGTTACGTCACAGTAACATTTCTATTCGCTGTGTTTGGCTTTTTGAGGAAAAGGCTTGTGTAGTTGTATCAAACCCTCTCTGGTTGTATTCTTGAATGTGTGAGAAGGGAACAGGTGATACTTCACCTACTTGTTCATGGGGCGGTGGATACACTTGGGAACTTTGTAGCTGTCTTGTTGCTGTGTTGTAACTACTGACTGTTATGATTTTCACAGAGTTAAGGAGTAAAGGTTGTAGTTAGGGAGCGTGGGGGGGGGTTTCTTTATCATTAGGGTTGACATTGAAAGTTTTTATTCTTGTCAGGATGACGAAAATTTCAATCCAGTGGAACCTTGTAAACTAGCTCGTGAGAAGTAGTCTGAGACAAAGTGGAGATGGATTGAACGAGACAAACCCTGTGCTCCTGACTTTGTCACACTTAGCCTATATTCAGTGTTATTGCACCGTTATGAATTGATATATTCCCATTGAAATAAGGTAGTTATCAATCCGACTTGTCTTACACCTCTACTCCTTGACAATAGCGCCGTTTTTGTTGGTGGTACTGCCGTTAATGTATTTATGTGTTGTAGGCTGAAGGTCCAGATAAAGACCTTAGAAACCTCTCCGATGATGGGAGTACAGAGAGCCTTTTCCTGCACCCCCCCCCCCCGAGAAGTTATACCCTGTAGGCCTACAATTATTTAGACGAGTATTAATTCTGAACACCGTGAAACATAATACATTCATGTGTTGATTATTGTGCTACACTCAATTGTAATTAATGCGCTGTTATGGAAAATGAAATTGTCCTGTTTCAGGCTGGTCCATCCATCACGTAACAGACCAGTGTAGCAGTATGTGGGATTTGAAGCGTCATCAAACCAAGCCAAGTCAAGCCAAACCCACGTTGGCACGTATGCCCCTACCCACCCTGCTGTGAGACTACTGTGTAGCTAGCCAGACTTTCCCAGTACATCACTTTACAATCTACCGTTTATTTAATAATAACAAAAATATGCCCCGCCAGCCGCAAGGCTTCTGTGCCCGCCTCACCCGTCGTGCCATCAGCGCACCGCTAGTCAGGTGAGTGGTATTTAATCACTCGCGGGAGTTTATGGCTGTCTCATCTGGCTAGATGAGCGCTCTTCCCGTTTCCCTCCACCTGTTGCATTCTCGCTCCCACGATCCGTGGCAGTTGGCTTTCTACTCTCTACACGGGGCTTGTTTGGTGCAGGGCAGTAGGATCCACGTGACGTCAGTCAACATAACCCAGTTCGAATTTTTTTTCGACGCTACTGCTACAACAACTGCTTCTACATGTCCTTTCGTGCACTTTCATCAGACTAGGGGCCTATAGTTTGAGGCTGTAGGACCCACGAAACATAAACAAACCCGGATTATTCTATCAACGCTACTGCTACACCACCACCGTCTCCAACAACAACAACAGCAGCAACAACAGAAGTTACAACAACTACCACTAACGTGTTTTCTTTTACGCGTTGTGGTGGTGACAGAGGCAGCGACTCTTCTCCGCGAGGGACACCACACGCGCGCACGCTCGCCACCCACCCACCCACCCACTCACGTAGCGAGTGAGAAGAGAAGGACACTTCACTTCGTGGTGGCACCCCACCATACACATACAGTAACACACCAACAATAAGCATCATAATTTACAGTGCGTAAAAAGGCCGGCCCGATCTACTTCAGCGCACGCTCTCCCCGTCCTCTCCATCTCGCCCGGCGACGTCCCCACACCTGTGGATTTTGACCAGTCATTTTTGGCTTACACGTGTGCCAATTGTTTATCCACCTGTGCGCTCGCACTTTATGGCCCCTGTGCTAAAGGTAAGTTTTATCACAACCTCACTCCATTTATTTTACGTCTTTGTCTGAGAGGAAGAGATCATGAAAATTGTTTTCCATTGTTTTGTTATTTGCAAAATTCTGCATGAGTGTAATTTGAGTAACGTTGCCTTTTTGTTTTTTAATACTGTCTGTCTGTCTGCCTGTCTGTCTGTCTGTCTCCCCCCTCCTTTGCTCTCTCCCCTCTCCCCCACTTCTGTCTCTCCCTCCCTTTTTTTGCGTGTCTATCGCTGTGTGTATGTGTGTGTGTGCGTGTGTGTGTGTGTGTGTG